CAATATGCACAAATAGTCTGTGACTGAGAATTTTTAGCAGATATTGCTTTTTTTAAATTATAATAGTATATATTAATATAATAACAACTATAATTCTTATTCCAAGACAGGGAGCTACACTGTGAAAACCAGTCTTTCTCTGGGCAAACTTCTGCTGGTTAAGGTTGAGAAGGACCAGTATTTATGTCTCCCAGAAGATGAGTGGTACTTCTCCAAAATGGTGGTGACGACTCCAGAAGGAGATGCCATTCTTTACCCCTGCTACAGATGGATCGGCAGGGGAGAAATTGTGGAGCTGAGAGGAGGGAGAGGTCTGCATCAATGTCCCCAAATAACTGATTCATACATATTAACCGTTTTTGTACATTTAAATTTGACTGCTATAATGTTCTTTTCATGTCTCAGCAATGAAAGCTTTTGAGGAGGATCACCCCCTGTTGATTGACCACCGGAAGAATGAGCTGATGCTCAAAAAGAGCTTGTTCGAGTAAGTTTCCATGTGTGCAGTAGAGCTGCCGTTTGTCGCCAAAGTTTATCTGTAGAAATGTCTTTGTGCTTTTGGGTAACTTTGTTTGTTTTATTAGATGGAAGATTATGGCTGAAGGACTACCCCACATCAACAGTTTCAATGATGTGTCTGAGCTCCCAGCTGAAATCCGCTTCTCCGATTCCAGAACAGCTGACATCAGTTACTCAAAAGCTATGACGTGGGTCAATATATTTAAATATATGTGTATATATTAATTACAATACAGCTCTATTCTCTAGACTTTTAAATATTGAGGGAAAGGGTACAATTCATTTCTGTATGTTGCTTATTCCTGTGTTCTAATTGTTCCTTGTTTTACTTTAGTGGTATTGAACTCAAGGTTAAGGGGCTGCTAGGATCTACTGCACAATGGGAAAGCATTGAAGACATAAAAAAAATATTCTGGTGTAAAAAGACAACAATGTCAGGTATGTTCTTTTTATCCCATTTACCAGCTGTCAGTGTAACTCACCCCATCTGTCATGGTTTCATAACAACTGATTCAGTAGATGTTTTTCCTGTTCTGTACAATTATTTGTTTTCTACAAAGTTAAGTATTTCAGTAAAAGTAAAAATTATTTAAATAAATGACCAACATTTTTGCTTTACAGTCAATGACAATGATGATTATGTTGAACCTGAAAAACCCCAAAACATTTTAGAAAAATGATATTATATTATTTATTAAATGAACCAATTGTTATTTGTATTAAACCCAATATATAATGTTGGTATATTTTTTTTATATATCAATTTCTATTCTTCCAGAGTATGTTGCAGACCACTGGATGGAAGATGACTTCTATGGATATCAGTTCCTGAATGGAGTCAACCCCGGTGTTGTAAAGCGCTGCTCAGAGCTTCCCACAAACTTCCCGGTCACAGAGGAAATGGTGAAGCCGTTCCTGGAAGAGGGAAGCTCTCTGCACAAGGAAATGGAGGTATGAATGAAGATTAACTTTAAATGGATGATAATCTTTGTTTCGGAATCATGATTTGTCCATTTACTATCCCTCTGTCATACTTCCTTGACTTATTACAATTCTGTGATACCTCTCGATGTCTTAAACATTTCTTTCTTATGTCTTTCCAGAAAGGCAATATGTTCCTTTATGACCAGAAGAAGATGGATGGAATTCCCCCTGCAGCCTATAATGGTGAACCTCTACAAGTGACTGCTGGTCTCTGTTTGTTCAACTTGAACCCAGAAAACAAACTGATGCCAATTGCAATACAGGTACTGACAAATCCATTTAAAAGCCAGCATGTAATGTTATGGGTCTTTACAATGGTCAGTCTATGGAAAACATTCTTTAAGGTTTAAAGGGAGAGTTAATCATCTATTTTTTTATCAATTTCCAGTTGAATCAACAACCATCTGAGAAGAACCCCATCTTCCTGCCCAGTGACCCAGAAACTGACTGGCTGCTAGCCAAGATGTTCATTAAAAATGCAGATTGCATGGATCACGAATCAGTCCATCACCTCATGAGGACTCACTTTCTGGCAGAGGTCTTCGCTCTTGCAGCTCTCCGCAGCTTCCCTGTGATTCACCCAATTTACAAGGTATAAGTACTCCACACAACAGAGGTAGTGCAGGTTTTTTGTATTCCCTTGATCTGAAATAATGCTTAGAATTTGTATTGATTGATTTTCAGGTATATTATGTCTATACTAGAGAAGGTTGATAGTAAAGCTGCGACAGGAAATGTTCAAAATAAAAAGAGGCATGCGTGCAAACAAGTTTCCTTGATTAAACCCCATTACTTTGCGAGGTTGAATGCAAAGTATGTGACTATGCTGAGATTAACGTAACACAACATGTGAATTCCAAAAAAAACTTTTTTTAAACGCTTGCCAGAGGCCAGAAGTGCAAACAGGTTGTGGCTGGGGGTGAGAGGTATCCGTGAAGATGTTGCACACATCTAAAACACATCTTTTGACGCATGAAACACAACTTTCATGTGTGTATTAAATGTGTGTATTTGTCTCACTGTTTTTGTATCTTTGATTGTACATGTAGATAATTTTGTTATTTGTCATTCACTTTTTTTTTGTTACTTACTTTTCATAGATCTTCTTTGGAAACTGGTTTTATGAGCCATTATTTTGTATATTTTATAACAAAAAGTGATACTTAACTTGTTGGAGTCCAAGCACTTTATAATTATCATGGTTATATATTTTGAAAGAAGCACTTAAAGAAAGCCTGATTTCAGTTGTGTTTGCTTATACAGTAGCTTCCTTCATTTACACTGATGTTCTGCCCGTTGTCTTCTGAATCAAGCATTTTACTTTGACTTTCATATTTTTTTCCTCTGTTCAGCTGCTGTTTCCACACTTCCGGCACACTCTTCACATAAACACTAGAGCCCGCCTAAGTCTATTGGGACCTGATGGGGCTTTAAGTAGTGTAAGGCTTTTTCAAATACATATTTGTGAATATAAATACAAATGTTATCACACCTTGCAACTTAAATTCAGTTTTTTGGATGGTTTCTAATTTGATGTCAAGAAACTTGTCTGATGGTATACGTGTATTTTTGATTTGTTAGAGTTCACTTGGATTTGATGGACTAATGGAGCTCATGAGAAGGGATCTCTCTGAAATGACCTACAGCTCTCTCTGTCTGCCGGAGAACATCGCTGCACGAGGACTGGAGTCTATCCCCAACTTTTACTACAGAGATGATGGCCTGAAGCTGTGGAACATCATCCAAAGGTTTTACCTATTCATAAATATTGTGACTGTCCACAGTGATTCATTGTACAAACACCATTAGAGACTTTCTCAGACGCTCGTATTATAAAAAATACAACTGTTTTGTGTTTACCAGCTTTGTGAAGGCAGTAGTGGAGCACTATTATCCCTCAGACTGTGAGGTGCATAGAGACACTGAGCTGCAGGACTGGATCAGTGAGGTCTTCACACATGGCTTCTTAGGAAACAAAGCCGCAGGTATTTGTCCCATATTCTGAAGTCATTTGTAAATATAAAACATATTATAATAGTATATTTGAATGCACATAGTGATTGACTTATGAACATATTGTGCTGCCAACAGGGTTTCCAGCAGCCTTTCATACTGTCGAGGAAGTGGTCAAGTTCACAACCATGGTGATCTTCACAACGACGGTTCAACATGCTGCCGTAAACAGTGGGCAGGTAAATAGTTGGGGCGTTAGAATATGTATTGATCAAGTATAGCAGCCAACTGCTTTCGTTTCCTTTACAATAACCATTCCGTTTGCAGGACATTAGCTTAGCATTACAATGGAGTAAAGGTTGCCTTTTTTTCTATAATGTTTTTTTTCATAATTTAGTATGACTACAACTCCTGGGCCCCCAACGGCACGCTCCTTCTGCGCAAACCTCCTCCAACCACTAAGGGGCAGTCAAGCATGAAGACGGTCCTGGAGACCCTCCCGAATGTTGGCGATACAGTCCAGTTTGCAGCACTGACTTGGTTGCTTTCAGACAGATACACAGGCTATGTAAGTTTGGCGTCATAAATACTTACAGAAGGATGTCCTATCCTGATTTTTTTTTTTATGTTTTTCTCTTTTTTACCATTAACTTTGCTTTGTCAGTCTAATTTTGTTTCCTGATTTTGTCCTTCTGGCAGATTCCCTTGGGAACATACCCAGAGGAACGATTTGATGAGCCTGAGCCTAAGCAGATGATAAAGGAATTCCAAGCAGAATTGTCGTACCTCAGTGAAGCAATAACATCAAGAAACTCACATCTTGAACTACCCTACACATACCTGGACCCTGCAGAGATAGAGAACAGTGTTTCTATTTAAGCAGATCTGCGATTGTATCCATGTATTTCTCATCACCTATTTTGCATGCTGGGAGTTCAGTTATACTTTTAATGTAGTACATACTGTATAATAGCTGGGGCAGATAGATGAGATGTAATGGATAATTAGTAAGTTGTTGCATACTGGTAAGGGAGGACTAGAGTACAGTATATCTTGGTTGTGTGATGCTGAGCAGAAACTAAACTGACTAACACAGGAGGTAATGGCTTAAACATTGCTCTGGCCCCTATTTATCGATTACAGGCAAAACGATAAAAAAAATTGGGTGAATGTTTATTTTATTTATTTCTCTACATTAAGTGTATTTTGTTGTATCAGACTTTCTTAATGGATATGAAATGCAGCTACTGTGGGTAGCTGCATTTCACCTACTGTGGGTCCACTAGTCAAGATGATTTCAAACATAACAAGGTTCCTCTTTCTTTTTCTCCATTAGCAATTAATAAAAAACGATTTAACTTATGCTTGTCTTTTATGTACTTTTTTCCCTTTCATATAGCAAATGATGAGAATGAGGACAAAGAATAAGTACATTAAACCTCAGCGTTTTAATACATTTTTGTAATCAGAAAATGTATATTTTATTAATTTTCTTCGAAATTGCATCTATCGATCTAGTCAATTATATTCATATAATCAAATAACAGAAACATCTGTCAGTGAAATGCAATGAAATTCCATATCACTCTTTCTATCCACCACATTTGTAGATCTACTGTGAGTTCTATTTTGTCGAGTTCACTTTTATTTGACTGATGTATGGTGCGCAGTTATTCTGACAGAGTGGGACTTCATTCTTTCTAACTCATCTTTGATGCAAACCACCCTTTTCAAAACACAGTCCGTGTATTTTTAGACTACACCATACAATAAATGTTTCCGCGCGGACTTAATACAAGAGCCTTAATAACCCACTCGACACATTTTACGGTTTTGCGGACGTGTCACTGAATTAAAGCTGCCACAATGTTGTTTAGGTTCGGAGTCATTCTCACTCCGGAGTCTTCGGATGTAAAGGTCTTTGTTTTGGGTTCGCGTGAGGAAATGGGCCATTGGGACTTGAGCGCAGCGGTTCCGATGTCAGCCTCTCAGAAGCTCCTGTCCACCCTTGAACCGTGTCTGTGGACCGGCGACGTGCAGCTGGCAGAGCCGTACGAAGACACATTGTGGTTCAAGTTCGTCAAAAGAGTGAGAGGCACTTATATCTGGGAAGGTATACATCAACATTCGGATAGTGCATCCAATTCAGTAGCGTGCCAAATTAGATTGTTGACAAGTAATACATATTAAAACATATTTAATGTCAGTCCCATCGAAGGTAAACATCTCCGCCATGTTTTGTTTATAGTGTGTAATGTATTCTTGCTGCCACATGATGGCGGTATAGCAAAGCCTTTTTATTTAATTAACGCTCAGTGGTTCGTGGATTTTAGAGCAGTTGTATACAATTGTTACTTTACAATTCCTGCTTTCCAATGTATATCTCATATAGGCTACCTATACTTTATTTATAACATTACATAGGGCACACTCAAAAGTAAAAAGACTGATAACTGGATTGTTATTTTTAAAGCATTAACATGTAAGCAATATTTTTGAATGTTGTAACAGATCATTTAAGTTGTACACTGTTGAGAAAGTTGCTTGTAAAAATGCTTTCCATTTTATTAAAGGTCCCATGTCATGGCCATTTATACTGATAATAATTCCATTGTTGAGGTCTACTAGAATAGATTTATATTGTTCAATGTTCCAAAATGACATTGGTTTCTCATACAGCATCTCTGTATAGTATGTGTATTCACTCTCTGTCCTAAACGGCTTGTTGGAGCTCCTGCGCCCCCCCCCCCCCCTCCCTATGAGCCCACTGTGCTCTGATTGGTCAGCTCGCCCACTCTGTTCTGATGAGTCCACCACCGTTACAGCGGAACATCAGTGATTATGTGTTACAATGGCGTTAGCAACCAGAAAATGACACCAGTAATGACAAACAGATGAGAATGCTGCGTGGGGACTGGGTGCCGTGTTGGCGGGACGTTGCACGGCTCGCTGCTGTGAGGAGCGGACAGTGTGAGCTCTATTACTGGTGTCGTTTCCTGGTTGCTGCGTGGGGTCTGCGAGACATCTCGAAACTCAGCCTGAACTCAGCCTGAGCACCATGGACATGGGAAGGGGAGTTGCTGAGGGGGCTGCAGCACCCCCATCTGCGAGGCTCCACTAGCACCCCCCCCCCCAGCGTGTCACAGTTTCGCCGCTGAGAGAGTGTGTGTCTGTGTGAGGAGCTCCACGGATTGGTCATTTGGACCAATTGGTCCATCGGGTCGTCGTTACGTCACTTGGTTCCCGGAAGAGATAAATGGAAAAAGACAAATGTCCAACGAGGCGTTCTGGGGCAGCATAGACAGGTCTTTTCTGTGTTAGAGTTTTACTCGCTACAGGGTGTACTTTGAAGGTTTGTGACTTTGCAGACGGTTTACATGCAGAAAAAGCTACATAACACACAAGGGGACGGGTAATAACCGGAAAAGCATGACATGGGACCTTTAAGTTATCGCATTAATTCTATATAATTAAAATCTACAAATGTAGTAGTTGCTGACTGTACCTGTCAGAAGAATATAGTGTTACTATACTACTGTAAAAATCTAACACCAACCTGCAGAAAATGTGTCTTGCTTGTCACCAGGTAGCAATCCGAGCCATGACAGGTGTTGTTCATTTGATGAGAAGAACATAGTGGATGGAGTTTACTGCCATCCGATTGGTCACTGGATAGAGGAAACAGGACACACAGATGAGATGAAACACACCACCAACTTTTACTTCAGTGTGGCTGGTCAGAATGCCATTCATTTCTCCAGGTAAAACAGTACAGTAGAAACAAAGCCAAAGCAAATACTGGGAATGTCTATAAGTAAAACATGTCACAGTTGCAGCGGAAATATTTTTTCATTGAATGATTTTAGATTTTGTATTACAATTTTTCACAGTTGATACCAAAAGTATTAACTAAATGAATAGTAGTTACAACAAACTAACACATAAAAGAAAAAAAACATTGTGGGATTGAGTTGAAATGTTAAAGAATTTAGGTTCAGTAGTGAGACAGCATGACTTTAGACTGTTGGAGGTTAGCAGCATGGGTTACACACTGAAGTCAGTCCTGCAACCAGCTAGGTGTACTTTCACAAGATGGTTGCTGTTGTTCTAAATTGACTGCTTTTTTATAGTGCTATTCCTATTTACAACCCCACATGGCACTTTACATATACTGTACAAGTCAGCAAGGATCTTGCCCATGGATACATCAATATGTTGACTGGGATTGAACCCCCAACCTTCTGATTGTTAGACAACCACACTCGCTCACAGTCACAGTTGCCCCATAAGTGATTTACCTCTGACCTCCCAGTGAAAGAGAAGATTTGGTCATACACTAAGTATTGAAACAGTTTGACACAAACTTTGAAGAAGATACTATTAGCTGTTATCTAGCTAACTCAATTATTTAACAGCTTCCAGGCTCAATAGTTGCATTAAAATTAGCAACTCTTAACCCTAGTCAAAATATACTAAAATTAATACTTTCTCAAATAATGTAGGCAACCTCTAAAGATCACATGATCATTTTAATATAATTAACCATAATAATATAAACATAGTTAGTGCCATGATGTATCAGGCCCAGCAGAAATGAGCCCAGGAACCCTGTGGCAGTGAGCACATCACTTGCATAACAATGAGCAGGCTTGGCCGGTGCCATCAGGTATTCATTTGTGTCCGAAGACCTTACAAGGCTTATGTCAAGGACCCGTGTTCAGTAGGAAGCACTCTGCCCTTGTATCTTTGCTATTAATAGCTTTTTCAAATTAGTCTCTCAGACCTTGCATCCGTTTGCTCCCCAGTACCATTTACACACTCACCTCTGCAATAACTCATTATATGATTCAAAGAGACTTTAACTTGCTGTCTAACAGGTGCCTCGTCTCCAATGCTTTGATTCAGAGGAGAGGAGGCCTGGAGGTTATAAAGCCAGATCGTAATGAGTTTGTAATAATGTTGTATGAACAACTGAGCAATAAAACAGACATATTTTCCAAGAAATGTAATCCTCCATCGTTCGGCTAAATGCTGTAAAGCAATAAAGCATCAGCTAGAATCTACCAATAATTGTATTTACTCATTTTACGTAATAGATACACTGCTAGTCACACAGAATACACAACAGAAAAATCAGTTTTACTCAACTTCAGTTTAGCTTTTCAGTTTTGATATGGTCCAATTGGTATTGATACTTTCTGTACGAGTAAGAACAGGTGTATAATGATTTAATAAAAAACAAGACAATTGTTTGATTTGCAACAAAGCCATTTAGCAGAAGCATTTTATGTAAAGAAAAGAGGATATCTGATTACACAGCAAGTCGAAACCAGAAACTTTGCAGGGCCACTTTGGGACATTACAGATGAACGTACGCATTTATGAGTCACCTGCTCTGGTTGTTGACTTCATGCACATTAATGAGCCCTAAATGAGTGTGCCTTAGACCGAAGTGGTATCGAGGAGAATTATAAGTACAAGATGTAAACAAAACATCAGTGCCATGAAGGAGAAAGGGAGGAAAAATACAGAATCAGAATGAAACCATGTGCTTGTTAGTGACTTGTAAGGGTCAGCTTTCCTTGATCTGCCTGTAGGACAGTTCAAATTACTTTAATTGGCTCAGGAGTACCTTGAAATTCTCTGCTCATACCCCACACAATGGCCAACAGGGACAGAGCGTAACCTCTTTGTCACCCTCTTCACCCTCACACCATATTTGCTTTCAGGGTATAAAGCTTTATTCAAACCCTTTAAACCATTTTATCCAATTATTACATCTACAGTGTCATTTAAAGTCATAATTCCCTTTTTCTTCATCTGTGACTTCATTCAAACACTACTCTTCAGACATTGCGTTAACCTCACAGGTTCAGCATATATAGCATTTAATAATGACTACTTGCATTCATAAAATGGATTATGCATATTCATTATCCCCAGGGTGCTGCCACGTATTTGGCTGGGAAGCTGCCCTCGACAGGTGGAACATGTGACCATAAAGATGAAGCAGGAATTGGGGATTACTGCAGTGATGAACTTCCAGACAGAGTTGGATGTGGTAAACAACTCTAATGGCTGCAGGCACGACCCAGGGGAAGCCATGACCCCGGAGAAGATGATGCGCCTGTACAAAGACTGTGGACTGCTGTACGTGTGGATACCCACTCCTGACATGAGCACTGAGGGTAAGGACACATCTGTGCACATACAAGAATAAATACAGGTGTAGTAATAGTATTTAGTCAGGTCTGAGTGAGGACTCCTTGTCTTTCTGAAAGACTCTTTGGCCGTATTCCGGCTGAAGAGCTCTAAGCGTACTCAATATGCATACTTTGTTTTAGTGATGGTTCCATTCAAATATTTTAAAGTGGAAAATCCCTAAAATAATTATTTTAGTAACACTTTTCTAGAATGAGATGAATGCAATAAATACATCAATCTGTGAATGGTGGAATTATATCTAACCATGCTCATTACCTTCTAATGTAAGGTTTCCTTTAACCTGAATGGTTGGGCTGTATCTCATGTGTTGTGTGAGTCGCAAAATAATGCTACTTGTGCTTTCACAGTAAATGCAAGCAAATAAATATTTACATATATTCATACTTCACATGTACAAGCCCTCTGCTTTAAATCTATTGTGTCTCCTTTTGCAGGTCGCATTAGGATGCTTCCCCAGGCAGTGTATCTGCTCCATGGGCTCTTGGAAAATGGTCACACTGTCTATGTTCACTGTAATGCTGGAGTGGGCAGGTCGACTGCAGCTGTGTGCGGCTTGCTCCTGTACGTCCTCGGCTGGAGTCTGAGGAAGGTGCAGTACTTCGTTACAGCCAGAAGGCCGGCAGTGTACATAGACGAGGAGGCTTTAGTCCAGGCTCAAACCGACTTCATCCAGAAGTTTGGACAACTACGATCATCCATCTCTCACCAAGAGACATGAGAATTGAACTCGATTGTACCAAAGTCTTGACATTGAAGCCACATCTACAGGTATTGAAAGCTCCACTGGACTAGACTCTTGGAAATGATTCTTTACAATGTGAAAGAAACACTGTATAGTCAGCAAGAACATTTACTTACTTTCACTTTGATGTAATTCAAGTAAATGACCCACTTTAGATATGGAAACCAAGTTGATCCCTAAGTATCTGGAGAGAGTTCTGCTGGCTGTCGGCATGGAAGCAATAATCCTACTGTAATGTGTTGGCTTTTAACTTAATAACCCTCTGCCATTTAGCACACACAGTTAAAACATCGTTAGTTTCAGGACACTATCAGTATTTAAATGTCTGCATGGTGTTGGAAAGACCTTTTCTTTTTGTAGTGAACAATACATAGAGTTGGCATTTTGAGAAGGCACTTTTTAGCTGATGGGTTGGACAGCAATGTATGAGAATAAATTAAATCAAAACAATATATCAATCAATATATAACAGTAGCACTGTTTGCTCTCATCCAATGAGCTGTGATTCTCAGTAAAGGATTAGTCCACATTGTTATTGTGTATCAAATGAGAAAATACCCTCTTTAATTCGGAGGGGGAAATTATCAATAATATCTTACTTTGAAAAGAGGTCTTAACGTTTGGCACTTCATGCCAAAGCAACAAATCCATTCCAAAACTCAAATAAACAACAATGCCTCTCCCGCTCCCAAACATTGAAGCATTCAGCTCCGCCCATCTCTCTCAGCGAGCTTGATGGCATTTCATCTTTATTTATTAATCCGACAGATGCTATTCCGACCCATCTCCATCAATAATGAAAACAACATCTAGGCCAGACCATTTTAATGCATACATAATAAGACATTATTGGAGTACTGTTTGTTGTCAATTCTGAATGTCTGCCTAGACTCCTATTGAGGATATATTGCTTTTTTTAATACAGTGTTTTTGTTACCTGATTTAAGACATTTGGTGGATTGGAAAGGAGAAAGGAGCTTTCTCATCGAGCACAATTCATATTCTCCTTTTCTTTCAATGAGTCCCTTCAGCAGACAGCCCTTTTTGAGGCTTTCAGTGTGATTAGGTAAAACTAATTATCCATGCATGAGAGCCAGCTGAAGCAAATCATTGTCGAAATGTTCTCAAAAATATGAACAAAAACGGAATATGGAATGAGTGACATGAGACATATGAACTATGAATTACGCAAAACACCTCAACATTATTGACTCCTAAATTGAACTCTACTATGAACTTGAGATTAGTACGTAAGGGATGTATCGTGTCACAGTGTTGCTGATCAGATTGTGCTCCACATCATCAAATCCCTTACTGCAGCATGCAAGCCTTCCTTCCCCACTGTCATATCTACAGTATCTAATAAAGGCAGAAAAGGCTCAAAGAACATATCATTGTGTGTTTTGCAGAACCCCTTGTCTGAGGGACAATGATATATGACATGGTTACTTGTTGCAGGATGCAGACACTAGGAATAGAAAGAACAGGGTGCACAAAGTATTATGTCTTTCTACAAAAATAAAATATATATTCTTTGGCTATATATATCTAACCGTTTCCTAATTTCATCAAACAGTTTCAAAGCTTTTTCCATTAAGAAGTCAGACACGGCGTCCATGTCTCGCACAGGCTTATTAAACGTCACTCTGCTTTATTTAGATTATCTGTAAAAAAGGATGAGCTGAGCATTTTTTCAGCAAGGCACACTCACAGACATCTTTTTACTTTCTGTATTAGATCATCTCATCTAATCATAGTCAGCCAGTCGATTTCATCTTTCGAACGTGAATTGTGTTTTGTCCAATATGCGTTTGGTCCTCTGAGACCCATGATGGTGATTTTAATCATGAAGTCTGCACTTTACAGTAAATCTTAAAACCATTTGCCTTTGATACAGTTCTGCTAGCTAGACCAGCCTGCATTCATTCATCATTGAGAGGAAAAGCTTTTTCACATGCACAGACAGTCAGTCCAGGCACCCATGTTTAATTTACCTAATAGATTCCAAGTCCAGCTATACCATTTGCATTGTGTGGTTAAGAATAATCCCATGATGAAGAAATGTCTCTCTCTTTGCTCCAGGGCAGAACTCCAGCTCACCCTGGCAAGTAGTGAAAGTAAAAGCCAAAGTGAAGAGATGCGGTTTGACCAAATAACTCTAAATCTACAGGCTCATTCTACCATGTATGTTTCAGGAGCTTGAACCAGCAGTCCCCGGAGGAAGGTTTATTCATGTAGTCCAAGAATATCTGACTATGAGACACTCTGTGGAATATGAATAGGTATGAGTAATGCCAGACAGTTGATCTACAACCAAATATAAATACATCTGAGAGGCTGAGTGTACCATTGTTTAATAATCGATACATCTGAGATTGATTGACTGACTGGAGGCTGAGCAGCAGTCTGTTTTATGCGTGTGCCATGGCAACATATGGCATGTGTTTTTCCAGACACAGCACCTACAAGACTGGGTAAACATTTCTTCTGTGAATGCATTACTTGCAGTCTGAGTCATTCCTCAAGCAGCCAGTGGCAGTGCCCCACTGATATTCAATAATACCAAGCCTTTGTCCCTCGGGGGACCATAACAATGAATGGGCAGATTTATGCAGGTTTGATATTTCTCTTGCAAAGAAAGTGTTTATTCCTGTAACACCTAAACTATGCTCCCTGTTGGCTTCCAAATACCTTAGTTAGTGAAACTTTTCTCATGCTTTTCTTTATTCAAAATACAATATTTTATAACTCTTTCTTACTACATCCTTACTTTTACTTCGTTTGGGACATGTTACAACCGTGATCTACTTAGAATAGGCATATAATAGGTGTTTCAGTCTCATTAATATCCACATTATTTTTGTTTTTGTCATTGAGAGTTATTGATTCTACTGTATGGTTTGTCAGACTGTAATTATTGGTATTGCCCAAATATGAATCAGAATCAGAATCAGAATACCTTTATTCGTCCCACAGAGGGGACATTTACATTGTTACAGCAGAAAAGAGCCGTAGACAGCTTAATGTTTAACAAAGAAGTATGCATAAAAAACTAAACAAATATTAAAGTTCTGAAGATGTAGCAGCCATATTGCAGTTATTCACGGCATATATATATATATATTGCACATATTGCACATTGGTATTTAACAACAAGGGGTGTTATAGTTCATCTTTAAATGATCAACTTTAAAATCATGTTTCAATGATAAGATGCTTTGCTGAGCTAGATTTATAAACGGTTAATGTAGCCAGGAAACAAAATCTGAGAACCTTGTTTGAGTATTTTGGACTAATCTTTTCTAAATCAAGACTGCCTTTGCTCTCATTACATGCATGTCTTAAAGGTAGGGTAGGTAAGTTTGAGAAACCGGCTCGAGATACACTTTTTGTTATATTCCATGGAATGCTCTTAACATCCCGATAGCAATGAATATCTTAAGTGCTTTGACAAAAAATCCATAAAAAAATGTCATCTGTGGAAGCCGTAGTACTGTAAAAAGCACCGGCCCGGCTAAAATAACTGGATGGCCTACCTGCCTGTCAGCCTTCCATCTGTGCACAAACTTATCTCGTGCCCTCATTGGTCATGTGCGCGTTCGTGTGTGTTGGAGGAGGGGCTCTATAAGGAAGTGGCAGATTTTCTCCGGTTGTGTATTTTCAAATTCTAGCGATCTCGAGCCGGTTTCTCAAACTTACCTACCCTACCTTTAAGTTACACGTGTTTAATGTGGCTGGGACAGCAAAGACATTTTTAATTTCAAAACACAACTGCATGCAATATAGATGATGGATGTTGGTGGTTGTAATGACTGCCTCCATTTATGATAGAGAAGCACTCCAATGTAGGCACATTACTGTTAATCACACAGAAAGGAAGAGTGGTGGGTAAGGGAAAATGAGAAATGGATGAAGTAAGTCAAGTTTTGACAGGCCAACAGCACAGCGGTTCAAAGTGTGACTGTACTGAAAGGCTTCCTGTGAAATACACTTGTGCTGTCAATACCTCTGTTGTTCTCTCCATTTCCCACGTTGGCACTGCCATTGATCAGTGTCAGCGGGACAGATTCTGATATGAACAAGGGAGGGGGATACACAGCTGTTAAACATAGTAAATTACGAGACAGTTGGTTTGCCACAGGAAGAACCTTAGGGTAAAGGGTTTTGTTTTTGTGATGTCTTCATATATGTACAGTAAGTAATATAAGAACTATGTATTAAGTTGCAGATCTATATGGATAGAACGTCATTTATCATCTTTAACCCTTCACAGGTAGGCTCTAGGTTCAATGACCTTGGACTTGGCTATTAGAGTTATGTCTAAAATCAATCAATCCCATCTGTTACCTGGGGAACTGCTTCGGGTCGGGGCTCTGTGTTTCATTTTTCTACTATATCTTAACCTTCACATTGAAAATTAAACAAAGACCTTAAGGTAGACATTTTGAAGGAAACCTTTGAGGAAGGGCTGGATTACTTTTCTTTGGTTAGTGAATATCTGTCACTGATTGTTACCTAGAACCTATAGTCACTAATTAACAAAGTATACTCTCAATAAATACAAACTTATATTTGCCGCCCACCACGACGGTTTCATTTTGACGGCTTTATAATCTAATGTAAAGTTAAGTTATTGTTGTGAGTAAGCATTATGTTAGTGTGGCACAAACTTATTGAGTCGTTTATAGTTTTATGTTTATTTTTGATCAATATCATACCTACTTTGCTTCTTTGTTTTCTAATCATACTGAAAGGCTTTTGATTAGTATATTAATTATAATTAGGACCCATGAAAATGTTTTAGAATAAATGATTTACTATGCAAGTTCTTTGTGCGTGACAAAAAAAGGATGCAGAATTTACTGAAGATTTACAACATAATAAATGTGAGCTTTGGATTGCCTGAAATAGTGTCATAATCATTAAACTATTGTTGGTGTTCACGTGCAGAATGAGAACAGTTTCCTACTTCGTCTGGATCTCGGGGATGATATCAGACTTTGACAATTTGACAAAAAGAATCACTCTGTTGTTGATGTTCTTCAAATCATGTCCAATGTCCTCAGGTTATTTTTTTAGTCCTGACCCACTAATCCATCATGTCATTTTACCACAAATAACAGCGGTGATATGTGGAGAAAGAATCAGATCTTTCTATCTGAAAGATATGTGTGTGTCTATACAAAATGTAATCTGCCTGAACTTAATACGACCGGACAGGTATGCATTACTTTGGGAAAGGAGTTTGTTTGAAGACATGTTTAGCACGTAATTAAGCCGGCTAGCCGACAGAGGAAGACAATAGAGATTGTGCTGCCATGCATGATAAGTGGACCTGCCAGCCTAGTTTCTTCCCCCCCCGCCTGAATCAGTGATGCCAGATGCCAAAGCTGACAGCCCAGTTAACATGGTAATCATGAGATCAATGAGCGCAAAATGATCCAATGAAAGACATGTCGTCTTTTAGTGTGACTGTAGGAAAGAGGCTATAATGTGTAACATTGTTGTCAGAATTTAACATTAACTTGTATTTATTTATAAGCTATTTCTTTAAATTACTCCTGCTTAAAGATGAACTATGCATTGACAACAATAATCAAATCCACAATAATAAAAGCTGCTTCTTCTTATACTTATTATACTTTCCTCACATGGCACCTAACTTTTTTTGTTTTATCAACAACTCAGTCCCTACAGCAGAATACAGCAGTATATTATAGTACAGACCTTTGAGTTCAGGCACAACTCTATTCTTTTCTGTTACAAATCAACCTATTGAGGACCATCCTTTGAAGAAACAGTGGCCTTTCAAATGAAGAGCTCACAAAAAACCATGTCCCTGAACGTCCCTGTTTCATTACTAATGCTACAAGAGGTTGCTATTACATTTAAGGAAAAAAATCCAACATGGCTGCCCCGATCTCATGTTATGTACCAGTATGCCTGAGCTGTCCATAATCACAGAGACCCAGCAGGCTACTGGGGAGAGGAAGGGGACCTGGAGCGGGATGACAAGGGACAGAGCGTAACCTCTTCGTCACCCTCTTCACCCTCACACCACTTGACATGGACTCCCTGCCAGAACAGATAACATTTACAACAGAGCAGGGAACCACCCAGCACAGATGGACACACACACACACACACACACACACACACACACACACACACACACACACACACACACACACACACACACACACACACACACACACACACACACACACACACACACACACACACACACACACACACACACACACACACACACACACACACACACACACACACACACACACACACACACACACACACACACACACACACACACTGCCTCTGACATCTTTTCACCACTGTAAATATGTATTCACGAGGCAGAGTTGTTAAAGTGTCTACCTAATTAATCCTCTAATTATTTAAGGAAAGGCTCTCAACTGACCAGAACATCAAGATAAGCATTAACAAGGTGCCGTTGGATTGTGTTTTGCAAATGTTTACATATAGCAGGGGTATTAAATGTGCCGAAAGCTGATGATGTGCATCTTATCGTGCACATGGTATTAGG